GTAGTTGGGGTCCGTCTACATGCTGCCCACCAGTAGCAGTGTTTTTGCGCCTAGGGGACTCATTTAATAGCGTAAGGCTATTAAATTGGGTGTCCAGCGCCAAGAACATATCAAGAGTTTTACGAAAACTCGTTAAAATGCCCTTAAAACCGCTTTTGGTTTGCCGCATGAAAGACGTCATTTCCCTTTCTACATCGCGACAGGCCTCACAACAGTAACGCAGGCCGATGTTTTTCCTTACATCGTCCACCGTCCGAGCTGCAACCCCAATACACTTGGCGTGCATGACGTTTTCGCACAGCCAGCAGCCGATTGTAAGGTAGCCTGCAGCAATTGCCTTTTTGCAGGGTTTTAACGGAACAGACAATATTTGAGGACATTATAAAGACTTACCACTGTACTTTCAATTGAAAAAATGAAGAAAGAAGCGAGAGCGAGAGCGAGAGAGCGGGAGAGCGTAATAGATTAGATAAGATAAGAAGTGCAGGGGCACAACTAAAGCGAGAGAGTTGGAGAGCGTGGGAGATAAATAGATGAAACTTTTAGCTGTCGCGACGGCGCAAACAAAAGCTAGACGAAGAAGGCACAAAAAGGAATTCAAAATATGCAAAAGCTAGCACTAGCAGCACAACTTAATTGGAGAATAAAACCAATTATAGACACAAAATTAGGATAGCTGCATGCACACGCGAAGTGAACGGGAAGTTATAAACACAAATTAGAAAATTTAAGTTAACCCCGGTGGTTAGATTGAAACTTTAACACAAAACGAGAGCGCAAGAAAAAAACACGTCCGTTCACTTGGAAAGATGATGGATGTGATGGATATTATCTATTTAGTTTTACCATAAGGATCGTGGTTTTACCGAATATAGGATGGTAATTCACGAACACGACCATCGACGTCCGAAAAGTACAATTTTTCAATAATTTCTTGGATATTCATATTATTATTATTATTATTATTAAGAGTATATGCACCCAATATAGGTCTTTATTGTTTGGTTCTACTTTGTTAATAACATTAGCAGTGGAGTCCACTGACTTAACGTCTACAATTACCATTTTGGGTAGATATACTCCTAATATATAGGAATTATTATAATTACTATGATATTCTGTAGAGAATTTAATTATTTTATTATTTTTATTCAGTTCAAGAAATTTTAAATAGATATATGTAAATATTCCTATTTTTGCATATTTCCCATTCTTTTTATCCAGGGGCCACTGAGAAATCTCATCGGAATAAAGACAAAAAAAAAAAATTTGCATTGTCTGCCAGTCGGATTTACAAACAGATCTTAATAATATTCAAACATGGTGCCGTGTAAACTTATTAAACTTAAACGGCTCGAAATGCAAGTTAATGACATTCTCTCGTGTCGTTACTAAGCTTGCTACTTACACGCTGAACTGCTGCTCTTTGGAAAGAATTAATTCTGTTGATGATTTGGGCGTCCGCTTGGACCCAAAACTTGACTCGTCTATGGTGAATAGAGCCAGGGGTGTGCTTGGATTTATTAAACGGTGGTTCAAGGAATTCAATGACCCGTATGTTACTAAATCCTTATATACTTTTTTATTTAGTCCTATCTTAGAATATGGATGCTGCGTTTATACCCCTAGTACGGCGTCCATAGCAACCGCATCAAGTCGTTTCAAAAGAACATTTTACTTTTCGCTCTACGCGGTTTAAATTGGGATGCAAACCAAAGATTACCTTCCTACTGTAACAGACTCCTATTAATAAATTTACCTTCCTTAGCCAATCTTAGAACGATGCTAGGAATAACCTTATCCATGGTGATGAGGAAAGTGCTGACTTGGTTAGTCAGCTCAATTTCCACGAACCATTTAGAACTACTAGATCCTATATCTCATTAGTGTTGCGCCACTGTAGAACCTCCTTTGAACTGCATGAACCTTTTAGAGAGTTATGTGAAAATTATAATATTTAAATTGGGATGCAAACCAAAGATTACCTTTCAACTCTAGTAGATTCCTATTAATAAACTTGCCGTCCTTAGCCAATCGTAGAACGATGCTAGGGATAACCTTTATTTTTAACCTTATACATGGTGATGTGGAAAGTGCTGACTTGTTGAGTCAGCTTAATTTCCATGTACCATGTAGAACTACTAGATCCTATATCCCATTAGTGTTGCGCCACTTTGGAACCTCGTTCGAGCTGCATGAACCTTTTAGAGTCTTATGTGCAAATTATAATGATTTGTACACACTAATCGCCAATGTAAATACCCTTCCCAAATTAAAATTTTAAATACTATCACATTTAGTAAACATGCAAGCAAACAACCTGGCAGCACGCTGATAGTCAATTTCCTCGTATTCTGTCCTATAATTGCAATCGGGTCTACTAACACCTAACCCAAACAGGCACGTGCCTGGTGTCATACGGGCCACTTGAATGTACTGACCGTAGTGCATCAACGTCCATATCTCTCTCAAGTTCAAGTCAGATATATTCTTTTCTACGCCCAGTCCGAACTTATTCTTCAGTCCCATCTTGTACGGAAGCCCATATATTTTAGATCTTAAACATGTTAAGCCAATTTATTCACCAGGTCCCAATGGAATACCAGGCTGCGTGCTAAGATATGTGCCGAGGCTCTGTGTCTCCCCCCTCTTACGTTGTTTACCTCATCTTTAGAATCCACAGAATTTCCCCTTATTTGATAGGAATCTTTTGTTATTCCTCTCCACAAAAAAGGTAGCAAATCGGATGGCAGTAACTATAGGGGTATCTGTAAGTTATCGACAATCCCTAAAGTCTTCGAGAATGTAATCACTCCTCACTTGCAAAACTTATGCAGTTCCATAATTTTTCCATGCTAGCGTGGTTTTATGAGGCGAAGATCAACCACAACTGATCCTTTGCAACTTATCTCATTTGTTAATGGAGGCTTTCAATGTAACCTTTAAACCGATGTGATCTACTTGGCATTTAGTAAAGCTTTCGAAACGGTTAATCACTCCCTTCTTGTAAGGAAACTCGATTCTATAGGATTTCCTGGTGATCTTCTTATGTGGATTTTAAGTTATCTTAGTGACAGGACTCAAAAGGTTATGTTCAAAAATGCTCTATCCGTTAGCCATTGTTATTCACACTGTTTATCAATGACCTGCTGCAGGTTCTAACAAAATCTTGAGTACTTATGTATGCTGATGGCGTTGTATAGGGATAGTTCAAGCCAGTCAGAGTTACAATTGGATCTTAACAACTTTCACGCGTGTTGTCACGCTAACTCTTTACATCTCAACAGCTCTAAATGCAAACTGATGACATCCCTGTTTTCCACATATATGCTTAACGACTGCGCTTTGGAAAGAATCTCTCTTGATGACGATATAGATGTCCGACTCGATCCTAAACTTTCGTTCTCCGAACCTATTTCTCGCATGGTTAACAAAGCCATAAACTTGCTGGGATTCATTAATTTGTGATCGAAGGTAGTCTCCTTATGTAACAAAGACGCTCTTTACGTCATTATTGACTCTTTTATTGGAGTATGGTTCATGCCTTTGGAGTCCTCAATTTTGAGTCTATAGTAAGCGCATTGAATCTGATTGCCCTCCGTGGCTTAACCTGGGATGCTGATTTAAGATTGCCGTCTTACTCAAGTAGACTTCTCTTAGTTAATTTTCCCTCCCTAGCTGACCGTGGAACGATTCACGGGGACGTGGAAAGCCCCTGTCTGCTTGGTCAGCTCAATTTCCATGTTCCCCGACTAACATCTAGAACTTATTTTCCTTTTGTAGTACATCAGTGTAGGAGAGAGTTTGAGGTACATGAACCATTCAGGGTTTTATGTACCGATTACAATCGCCTCTTTAAATATGTTGATGGCATTGAAAGCCTCTCGAAATTAAAAACCTTATAACTTGTAGAATTAGCTTGTAATGTATCCAAATTTTTCTCGTTATATCAATTATTTCCCTTCTCTCGCGTCTATCTATTTCGTAAACGTACCGTACGTCACACGGTTGGGCGGAAGGTGGACTTGGAATTCGCGACCGAAAAAACGAAATGAAATAAAATGTTTCGTTTTCAAACATAAAACTAAAAACAATACTTTTCCTCTTTTAATCACCAAACGAAATGTTACATTAAAGGAAACCATCTGGTGGCGAAACGAAGTTCGCCGGGCTTGAAAGTATATGAATGAAATGAAAGAAGGAATTACTTACATATTTTTGAACATAAATAAGTAAAATTTTTATTGTATTAATTCCTAGTGATCGAAGTTGTATCTGAAAAGGTATATAAACGTGTCGATTGGCGCTTATACACTATAGAGGCAAGTCTAGCTCAGGCGACGGGTATACTATACCGCGCCAAGCTCTATATAAAGCGGACCACAGACGTATTTCGGCATTCAGGCGGGCGGAAATTGGATAAAATAGGCTTACAACATCCAGTAGTCAGGAGCAAAGTTACTATTGGCTTCATTGTAGTTAGTTCCCTAGGTGATTTTCTTTCGTGGGTGATTTTTGAGTCCATTAATAAAATCTCTGTGGGACGACTTTTGATTCCAACAACAACTTCTTTCGTGGATGCCTTTTCGAGTCCAACAATTGCTTCTTCCACTTTGCTCGCGGATGACTTCCGGGTCTGACAACCGCAAACCATCGGGTTCCTAGCCGACACTAGGGACGGGATCGCACCGGTGTTATTCTTCTCTCTCTTCCACAGGTGCGTCACGACAACCAGAGCCAACCAAGACGAGCGAAGTCGAACGACGACCAACAAACCCAACTGCTGTAGCCGAAGCACTCCGTTAGATTTACTCCTTGTAACCACCTACAAGTAATAAACTAATTAAGATACTACTTACGGCATAAATCCGCGGTGTTTGGCTTGGAAAATCGGGTCGGAATCTCTTTCAGAAACTATGCCTGAAGCAAATATTTTCCTAAAAGGTATCTTGTTCGTCCCTCTGCTACCCAAACAACGACAGATCGTTACAACTAATTGACTTTGGAGAAGCCGTCACCGAAACTACAGGTTGGCTTATATACATTGTTTATTTTGAAATAAAAGAATACATATTGAATTAAATAATTAAGTTCTTAATTCCTTAGGCAAATGCGCACAAAATTGTTAAAATAAGTACATAAAATGCATCCGCCAATGATAGATTGCCCCTTTGAACAGCTGCTGGATGGTCTCCTAGATAATACGAAAAATTATTATTTATATACATATCTAAAAGATTTTCCTTGACTGACCTTTTAAAATGTGGACATTTACCGACTTTGGATTTGCGTTTGATGGTAAGCAGGAATATTTCCCTGAATCAGAAATTCGAGCACGTTGAATTAAAAGGTAAGATGTTGTTATGTCTCCCTTTTCTGTGATAACGGAAACTCCTCCCCGAGGGGAGTCATAGTTTATCTCCTGGAAATATAGCATTAAGGTTAGATAATATGTGAAATTGTTTGCATTTTACAAATTCAAAATCAAAGGTTTTTTAGGTTTTGTTTTTTTTAACTGCCTAAGTGAATACATTAATTTTAATTATATGAAAAACACATACTTTATAGAAGCTGGTTAAAAGTTTAGAGCTACTACTCCTACTACTACTATAAAATATTGGAAGCCATGCAACCGGGACAGGTTAGATCTTTTTCACTAATTAGGGCCTTAATTGGATATTAGAAATTAGTGTTATCTTTAACCTGCCATTCTCTTAAAAGGGTTGGGTAATAAAATTAATAATAGGGGTCGCTGATTGAATGGTGTGAGGTCACGTGAGAAACGTGTGTGAAAATGGTATCGGCTCACTCGATACGGATAAGAGTGCGACGGAGCAATATCGCAACGTGCTTAATCATTTTCTCGTGATCGAATACCACACAAACAAGTGATGAAGGATGATTTACGCTTCTGTCTGTTAAGGAAACAAAAAGGAAAACCCGTGCGATCTTTACCAAAATAGGATCATTTCTGTGTTATCACCTTCCACTAAAGGACACTCACCGGAGATCAAAAGCTAAAAAGGGATGGATGGTAAAAGGGTGCATTTATTTCATCCCCAAAAATATATTAGGCCTTTCACATATACCATTTACATTCTTCTTCAGCGTTCGCAAACAGTAACGACATGATTGAGAATTCAGGGGTTCAACGTAGAAGAGCCTATACAATGCACCCATTAATTAAGATTTCTGACTCCTGAAGAATGAAAGTAGCTCGCCCAACCTTTCATACCTCCACAATGGTATGTGTCCGCACTCAAGAATAAAACGCTTTACACAAAATTGTCCCTTCTTCTTTATCGTAAGAACAAATATTGTAAAATCATGCATTCTACCGCCACCATGCTTGACTGTAGGTTTTCGATTTTTATCGTGCAGCTCTGTATTTAGTTGACGCCAAGAATGCTACATTCCATCCGGCCCAATGTTAACCGAAAATGTTGATCTTGAACTCGTCTATTAAAATAAGATCATTCCAGAACGATAACGGTTGAGTTAAATTGCCATTGACAAATTTAAGCCTGCGCTTCTGATTATTCTGAGTAATAAAATGCTTTGTTAAAAGTTGTCTTTCCGCAATACGCGGCGGACGTTTTCCACTGGACTCCTTTTTCCATTTCATGCTCAAATCTAAAGAACGTTCTGGTGCCCAATTTTTGCAATTAATTAATTAATTTTTGCGTATAATTCGCCTCTTCCCCATCTATGTAAAAGTTTTTTCTGAGCATTGGATGATATATTGGACAGTACTAGTGCTCAGATTGACCATTTCAACAATACTTAGATTAGTTTTTTCATTTTTTACATATATTGACGTTGGTGCACTACGGTCAGTACACTCAAGTGGCCGTCTGACACCTGTTTGGGTTAGGTGTTAGTAGGCGCGATGGAAAACACAGGACAAAATACGAGGAAATTGACTACCAGCGTGCTGCCCCAGGTTGTTAGCTTGCATGTTTACTAAGTTTGATAGTATTAAAAATTTTAATTTGGGAAGGGTATCTACGTTAGAGATAAGTGTGTACAAATCATTATAGGAGGTTCTACAGTTGCGCAATACAAGTGGTATATAAGATCTAGTACTTCTAGATGGTACGTGGAAATTGAGCTGATTCAACAAGTCCGCACTTTCAACATCACCATGGATAAGATTATAAATATACGGTAAGTTTATTAAGAGGAGTCTATTTGAATAGGAAGATAATCTTTGGTTTGCATCGTGGAAATTGAGCTGATTCAACAAGTCCGCACTTTCAACATCACCATGGATAAGATTATAAATATACGGTAAGTTTATTAAGAGGAGTCTATTTGAATAGGAAGATAATCTTTGGTTTGCATCCCAATTTAAACCGCGTAGAGCGAAACGTAAGAAGTTCTTTTGAGCCGACTCGATGCGTTTACTATGGACGTCGTACTGAGGGCTCCAAACGCATCATCCATATTATAAGGACAAACTAAAGAGATTGTAATAAAGTTTAATAATTAGTTCACAGCCCTGCTTAACTTAAGAATATATTGGCTTGGCTTCCAATTGACAAAGCTGGACGAGCAGCGCTGCGGCCAACGCTTATGTATCTAAATATGTATATTATATATATTATATACTGCTGCAGAGCAGCGGTCAAAGCTTATGCATAGGTGTATATAGGCGGCGCAAGCAGCGGCCGCGCATGAAAGAGAGAGTTATATGCTCACATGATAATCGAATGATCGGCCGCGCATGCAGACATGGGAATATTTGGACATAAACAAATGCCACAATGTTGCAGTGATGTAAGTGGTACAGTGTGTACCCGTTATGTGAGCATACTACATCTCCCTCCTTTTGAAAAATAACGTAATCTATTTATTATCTATATTATTTTGAAAATTTTAAAACTAGTAGTTTGTTTTTTTTTTTTGGTTAATATAGTAAATATTAAAAAAATTTAGTAAAATCGAAACTTGAAAAATTTATGCGACTATTTCCTATTATATATATATTGTTAGTATTTGTATTTCTATATTCATTATAATAGTAAAGAACATTTCTTTTTTTTGGAAAAGAAAAATTTGATGAAATTTTATTTTTTTCTTACGAATGGAGGATGGCCATCCTACAAAATCTATTCTATAGAAATTTTTCCTTATGAACTGTCTGAGTTTTGTTTTTTTGTATTTAAAATTGTTATATTATTATTAGGTTCTATCTTCTTTACCGTATAGGGTCCTGTATATTTAAAGTCTAGCTTATGATCTTTTCATTATACCCTTGCAGGGTATTATAATTTCAGTCAAAAGTTAGCAACGCAGTGAAGGAGGCACCTCCGACCATATAAAGTATATATATTCTTTATCAGGATCAACAGCCGAGTCAATCTAGCCATGTCCGTCTGTCCTTCTGCCCGTGTGTCCGTGTGTCCGTTTCTACACAAACTAGTCTCGCAGCTTTGAAGCTATCTGAATGAAACTTTGTAGTTTTGTAAAAAAATATTATAACATTTTCAGTTTTCAACAGATTTTAATTAAATTTGAGATATATCCATGTTATTATAATCTACAATTTTGTGTAAAATTTTATAAAAATCGGACCACTATATCATATAGCTCCCATAGGAACGATCGAGAAATTAATACAATCAAATTTATAACTTTTTTAGTTTTCAGCTGATTTTCATCAAATTTGAGGTATAGCCATTTTATATAAGTCTTAAATTTTGTGGCAAATTTTATACAAATCGGACGACTATATCATATAGGTGCCATACAAACGATCGTTTGATGTAGAGGAAAAATGCAAATCTGTGTATAATATGTATAGGTGAATGAAATGAAAGCAGGTATTACTTCATTGTTTTTTAACACAAATATATATAATTTATATTGTATGGATTCCTATTCATAGAAGTTCTATCTGCAAGGGTATATAAACTTCGGCGTGCCGAAGTTAGCTTCCTTTCTTGTTTTTTTATTAGTTTTTAGCATTATTTTGGCCCTTTTATATGCCTGTTCTAATCTAAATTTAGATTCCTTAGCATAATCTTCTATATTATATAATGGTTCTATTCTATTTATGCTATTGAGATTGTTTGGTAAGTTTGGAGTTTTCCCAAATACCAATTCGTATGGACAAAAATCATGGGCCATAGAAGAGGGGGTTGTGTTAATCTATATATATAAAAATGCTCTGTTCGTGTCTACATCCTTCATAGACTCGAAAAGTTCTAAACCGTTTAAGCCCAAATTTTTACACAACATGCGTTGAGGTTCCAGCTCGGTTATTGACTACTTTTGATGTTGATAGCTTATCTGCGGTTGCGAATATATCTATTTTTTTAGCGTTTCCAAGTGCCCCTACTGCTGCGCCATCTACAGGCAGCCAGCTGAATCAAAGCATTTCCTGTCAAACATTCAAAACATATTGAAAGAAGAAACTTGAAAAGTTCTGAACCGTTTAAGCCCAAATTTTTAGAGAACATGCGTTGAGGTTCCAGCTCGGTTATTGACTACTTTTGATGTTGATAGCTTATCTGCGGTTGCGAATATATCTATTTTTTTAGCGTTTCCCCGTGCCCCTACTACTGCGCCCTCTACAGGCAAGTCAAAGCATTTCCTGTCAAACATTAAAAACATATTGAAAGAAGAAATTGGAGATACAAATTTTATTTTTTGTTCAGGTTCAGTAAGAAACGAAGTCATGCCACCAAAAAAGTCGAGATTGGGTCGTTGTATTCGCAATACAGAAGCAAAAAGACGTAAGATTACGAATATGACTGACGAAGAACGGGCCTCCTTCCGAGAGACTGAGCGGCTGAGAGCAATGCATGGGAACGCGTTAATATTGCTCGCAGGGGATTTCAGACAAACGTTGCCTGTGATTTCCCGATCGACACCAGCTGACGAGATAAATGCTTGCCTGAAATATTCTATATTGTGGCAAAATGTACGTATATTACAGTTGAAGACAAATATGCGTGTCCAGTTACAGAACGATGACTCAGCCGACGTATTCTCACGACAGCTACTGGACATCGGGAACGGAAAGCTGCCAGTCAATGAGACGTCGAGAAAAATAGTATTGCTCGGGAATTTCTGTAATTTAGTTACATCGAAGGAAGAACTTATCCAAAAAGTGTTTCCCAATATCCGAATAAATTATAGGAATCACGATTGGCTCAGTGGACGAGCGATTCTCGCTGCCAAGAACAAAGATGCCTACCAGCTCAATCATGTAATCCAAAAAAGCATAGAAACTGACGAAATTACATATAAGTCGATAGATACCGTTGTGGAGGCAGATGAAGCAGTTAATTACCCTACCGAATTTCTAAACTCACTTGATCTGCCTGGAATGCCACCACACATATTGAAATTAAAAATAGGTGTGCCGATTATCATGCTCCGGAATATAAAACAGCCGAAACTCTGCAACGGTACGCGACTCGCAGTCAAGAAATTGATGAACAACATAGTAGAAGCAACGATCATAACTGGTCCTTTCAAAGGTGAAGATGTCCTCATTCCTAGGATTCCTATGATCCCGACAGATACACCGTTCCAGTTCAAGAGATTGCAGTTTCCCATTCGTTTGGCGTTTGCAATAACCATAAATAAAGCTCAAGGTCAATCTCTGGAGTTGTGTGGTCTGGATTTGGATGAAGATTGTTTTTCACACGGACAATTATATGTTGCGTGTTCACGAGTCGGAAAACCAAAAAGTCTTTATATTTACGCGGAGAATGGAGAAACAAAGAATATTGTATACCAACAAGTACTACAGAATTAAATTAATTTGAAAATGATTATTTTTTGTTTGACTTATTTCTTATGCGTTCAACCACAATATGCCACAGAGAAACGTGGCAGTCCATTTGGAGAATGGTCAACGTGTCTATTTCACAGAAAAAATGTGCAAGAAAGAGTCCTGAATCGGCCAGCGACAACTCTGACTGCCTTCTTCACCTTATGCCAGGAAGATGATTTTGCCAGAACCTTGATGTATTCAGAAGTGCCCTCTTAACCATAATATGCCACAGAGAAACGTGGCAGGGTACAGCTAGTACAGTATACGAATTTTGAAACCATACATCCCAATCTGTTTTATCAACTGTGATATTGCCTAGGCAAGTCTATTTCTTTTTCTCCTGCGCAGGATTTCTGTCTACTTTGGTATCTTGTAGTAACTTTATTTATATTTCCGGTTATATTTTGTAAATCTTTGATAGTTATTCTTGATAACGCATAGGCTACCTGATGTCTTTCCCCTTTAAATATTCAACTGTGAAGTTATATTCTTCTAATTCTAGCCTCATACGTGTCAGTTTGGAACTTGGGTTTGTCATTGAGAACAAGTATGTTAAAGGTCTATGATCTGTTTTGATAGTGAAATGTTTGCCATAAATGTATGGTTGAAAATGTAATATTGCCCAGTGTATTGCAGCTAGTTCCTGCTCGGTAGTACACATATTACATTTTCCTTTGGTAAAGGCTTTTGGTGCATATGCAATGGGAAGTTGGAGTCCGTTATGGTTTTGGGTTAAAACCGCTCCACATGCTTGCTTACTTGCATCAGTTCAGCTGTCCACTTAAAAGGTCATTCTTTTTACATAATCGTGTTATGTGCCGTGAATAGTCGGCGAAATTTGTTTGAATCGTCTGTATTCTCTTCGTCGTATTTCTTGCCGTCTGGAAGTATTCCTTTATCTGTGCACTTATGACCTAGAAAAGTCACCTCATGCATAAAGAATGGACATTATTGTGGATGTAACTTTAGGTTATATTTCCTACATTTCTTAAAAACTTCTGTTAAGTTTTAAGCATATGTTTTTCGGAGCAACCTATAACTATTAAGTCATCCATATAAAGGAATGCTTGTGAAGGTTCAAGTCCAGAGAATGCAATAGTCATCATTCTCTGAAATTAATTTGGAGCTATTTTTAAACAAAAAGGTAATCGCGTGAATCGATACGACCCATTGCTCGTTGAAAAGGAAGTTATATCTCTTGAGCTTTTTTCCAAGTTCTATTTGGTGAAATCTTGACAATAAATCAAGATATGAAAAGTATTTTGGTCGACCTAGTTGATCTAAAATATCATCAATTCTAGGGAGTGGAAATTTATCGGACAGTAATTTTTTATTAATCTGACGATAGCCAATCACTAATCGCCACCTCTTTTCTTCGGAACATATAGCTGGGACAATTAATAATGGGCTATTGTATTCAGATACAGAGTGTTCGACAATCCCGTCGGTGATTAATTTTCCGACTATGTGGGCTTCTATCATACCCATCAAGGGAAGACTGGAGTAGGGGCAGAGTAGTAGTGGAGAACGAGGTGTCCCTCTACACCGATGGCTCAAAAATGAGCTGCGGCGTAGGGGCTGGGATCTTCGCTGAAAATTGGAGAATTGAACAGGCTTTCAATCTCTCTAACTCAGCGACGGTCTTTCAGGCTGAGTTACTAGCCATAAGGGAAGCAGTCGAATTTTCCTTAAGGCAGGACCTCAGGCGC